CACACGAGCAAAGCAACGTTTCAACGTCTTAAAACTGCCGTGAACCAAAGACAGTCTCAAATCGCTGGTGTTTCTGACATCACAAACGACCTTGTAAAGACCCTTATTCATCGTCTGGTGTCGTTTAAACCCCTTTGAACAGTTTGCACTGAAACTGTCTTTTGGACCTTAAACCGTTTGGACCCCATTGAAGTCCATTATCTGGAGAAAATCCTGAAGAAAGGCAAATTTCTTTTCGACTGAAGAAAGAAAGACGTGGACATCTTGGATGACACGGGGGTGAGTAAATTATCAGCAAAAGTTTTTTTAAAAGTGAACTACTCCTTTAAGGGTGAATTTTAGGAATTTTAGGGTGAACTTTAAGTTTCAGTTTTTGAACGATGGATGTAATCTACCGTCGTCATGAAGGGCAACATTAGCGATATAGACCAACAGCACTTCAACAGCAGACTGTGAACATGTGTTTCTGCTGTACAGTTTAACATGCGGCTCTATGGGAGTGAGTCTCTCCTGCAGCGCCTCTAGTGGCCAGAAGAGGAACTGCAGGATAACACACTCAGGGTTGAGAGAGAGAGAGAGAGAGAGATGGGCAGGTTCTGCTTACACATGTAAAACAGATAAAGATTAAAATAATGTTTAATTGGCTTGGCTCTGACCGGCATGATGTGTGTGTGTGTGTGTGTGTGTTTGCACTGACCTGCATGAGGACGGCCGGGCCCAGATACTTGTCTCCGTTCCACCAGTAACTGGGACAGCTGGTGCTGCAGCACGCACACAGGATACACTCGTACAGGCCGTCCTGACACACACACACACAGTGAGACCACAGACACGTGAGTGAGTGTGTGTGAAAGAGAGAAACTGTGTGTGTGTGTGTGTGTGTGTACCAGCTTCTCTCGGTCCTCCACACTCTGCAGGTACTGCTCTTTCCCCTCTCTGGACTCGTCCTTCTTCTTCAGGTACGGCTCGATGGATTTATACTGAGCGTAGAAGTTGCTCATGTCCTGCAGGAGACAGACAGGGTTCACACACTCTCACACACACATCTCACACACACCTCTCACACACACACTCACCGGCACCAGGTCCTTCACCACGTACATGTGTGGCAGTGGGTAGATCTTCGTCACTTTGCTGGTGTTCGTGTCGATCTTGTTTGTACACGCTAACGTGTTTCCACCGTTGATGTTCATAGCGCAAGATCCACAGATTCCTGTACAACGGATCACAACCGGATCAGACCGGATCAGACCGGATCACAACCGGATCACAACCGGATCAGACCGGATCACAAACGGATCACAACCGGATCAGACCGGATCACAAACGGATCACAACCGGATCAGACCGGATCACAAACGGATCAGACCGGATCTTTTAATTGGTTTGTTTCATTAGCACACATGTCACTATTGTTAAGTTCAATTTCCTGCAAAAATAATGATCGACAAGTTTGCTTTGCGGCCCTTTAAACACAGTTTTAAAGAGACCACGCCAGCGGTCAGCGCGTCCGCGAGTCTCCCCGGCGGTCAGTGCGTCTCACCCTCTCGGCAGGAGCGCCTGAAGGTCAGCGTCCCGTCCATCTCGTTCTTGATCTTGATGAGCGCGTCCAGAACCATCGGCCCGCAGCTGAGGGACACAACACACACACTCAGTCACGTGCGCGCGCACACACACACACACACTCTGCCCGCCGGCGCTCCACTCACGTGTTGAGGTCGATCTCGTACGTCTGCATGCGCGGTTTGTCCCCGACGGTGTCCGGATCCCAGCGGTAGATCTGAAACGCCTTGATCCTGGGCTGAGCCGCGGGAGCCGCTACTGTCTGCGCGAACCGCACCGCCTGGAGAACACAACACCGCGCGTCACTGACACTGCCCTCTAGCGGACACAGGCGGAACTGCAGCTCTGCTTTGGTTATTTGTCCAGAAAGGTTACTTTATTTCATTTTGATAATATTTAATGCAATTTTTTATTTATCTTTAAATTACTAGATTTGATCAATAAATAAATAAATAGTAACTCAAGCACATCTCACATTCTTTCAACTTAAATTCAAAACAACTCGCTATTTCATGCATAACCCTTTTAATTCAGCTGTAAATACCTTCCATCAGGAGTCTTTGCGACCTCTTGTGGAAAATAATAATATAACATAATGCTTCATAACTCTTATGAAGTTAAGATGGCCAGTTACAGAGCTGTTACGCTGGGTCCTAAATTCAATTTCTTTAGATACACCTATAGGCATTATAAAATCATTCTTTGGTAAAGTTATAGCATTTTTAGTTTGACTCACTCATTCGGGGCTCAGATTGACCCGAGAGGGAGGATTATAGTTACTTTTCTAAATTTCAACCACAAAACTCCTCGAATACATTCCGATGAACACTTAACAAAAGAAAAAAAAAACTACAATATTTTGGTCTGAGGGAGGGATGAGATGAAGACATGTCACGTGATCACTCGTGAAGCTGATAACATCAACAACACTGACGCG